GGGGCAACAGTTACGTTGGTTTGCGGTGTTGAAGTCTCAGGAATGGCGTCCTGGTACGATTCAAGATCGTCAAAACGAAACATTCAGGTGGATCCGTGGCGTTGGGATCCCGAGAACAATGTTTTGGATGCTTCAGGGTCTTCAAGCGGTTGTCTTCCAACGAGGCAGTTCCCTCAGTGGAAATGAACCGCTGTAGAGGCCTATGGAATGGGAGCTTGGACGGAGGGATTATTTCAACCTCGTTGATGACTCTTGGATTTACACTGATCCCCCTCCTCCACCTCCATTCCTTTTCCTTATAAATAACTCCTCCCTGTCACACCCCGGCGCAAGTTTTTTGGGCGGGCCAGGCGTTTCGCCTGAGATTTCCTCACCACGTATGGCTTTGAGCTTAAAAAAAGCATCAGCTTCACAGATGGAGAGCAGGTGGTTGTCAAAATGTGGCTCTCGCTTCAGCGCCGCGCAAATTCGTTCTCAAAGCTTGCAACAGCTTCACGGATTGAGGGCGGCTCCTTTTCAAAATGTGGCTCTCGCCTTAGCGCCGCGCACATTCGTTTCCACAAATTTGCAAGAGTTTCACAGATGGCGGGCGGATTCCTTTTCCTGAACGTAGTTATCGCCCTAGCGCCGCGCACATTCGTTCTTAAAAGATTACAAGAGCTTCGCGGATTGAGGGCATTTTTTTTTCAAAATGTGGCTCTCGCATTATCGCCGCGCACATTCGTTGTAAAAATTGGCAATAGAGCTTCACGGATTGAGGCCGGCTCCTTTTCAAAATGTGGCTCTCGCCTAAGCGCCGCGCACATTCATTCTTATAAATTACAAGAGCTTCACGGAGTGAGGGCGGCTCCTTTTCAAAATGTGGCTCTCGCCTTAGCGCCCCGCACATTCCTTACCAAAATTATCGAAAAGGATTTCCATTGATTCCCACCACAATATATCAGACATGGTTTTTCGAAGGATTCAAAAATTATGCGAGTGCAACAAGTATGTTGATTCGCGGTGTTGAACCCCCAAAAATTGCGCTCTGGCATGATTCCGGATCGTCAAGACGCAGCAGTCAGGCTGATACGTGGCGTTGAAATCCCGAAAACCATGCTTTGGCATGCTCCAGGATATTCAAACGGTTGTCTTCCAACGAAGCAGTTCCCTCAAATGAACCGTTGTGGGGGCTTATGAAGAAGGAGCTTGGAGGGACGGTCAATTCCAACATCGTTGGTGACTCTTGGATTTACACTGGTTTTCCTCCTCCTTTTCCTCCTCCTCCTCCTCCTCCTCCTCCTCCTTTTCCTCCTGCACCTCCTCCTCCTCTTCTTCCTCCTCCTCCTCCTCCTCCTCCTCCACAATCACTCAATATGAATACTACTCTCCCTCTTCCCCCGAAGGCGGCCTGAAAGTAGTCGACCCCCCCCGCGTACTGTTTTTTAACGCACAGGATTTCCGGGAGTTGGGTTTTCGCCTGCGTTTTTTCAAAATGCTGCTCTCGCTGAGGCGCTGGCCTCATTTCTGCTCCCGGATCGTTCCGGATCGTGTTCCCGCTGCAGCGTGGGCCTCATTTTCGGATCCGTGTTTTGCCTCCGTCGTTC